ATAAGCGCGTTCGTCCGGCCTACTACTGCCAAGCGTGTACGCCTGTCAATCGCTCCCTACGCGCGCGGGGATGGTCTGAGGCGTGTCGTCCGAATTTTTAGGCTCGCGGGGTGTGCGCGGCGCGAGACGTTTCCCACTCCCCGCGCGCCAAGTAACAATGGCGGATATTCGGTAGTAGTAGGCCGGACGATCGCGCTTATTTGGTTATATTTAAGATCTAATATCTCGTTAAATATTACGTCACCTGAAAAATGGTATAAGACTTTTCGACTCAGTTCGGCCTACTCTACCTGTTCCTGATAGGTGATCCGCTCGATTAATGACACCGTGTATATATATATACATATATATATATGCTTAATTAATTTAATAATTATTATTTAAGATGTTTCAAATTTGGATTGTATACTTTATGTTAAAGTACACAATTGAAAAGAACGGTCCATTGTAATCTTCACAAATTAGCTATCTCTAAACTTTTTGTTAATCTTTTAAAATGCTATCATTAAAATACGAAAGTAACTATACAGCAGTATTTATGATATCCACTATGTTTGTTGTTAATGGAGCAGTTTCTTTTTGCGCGCTTTTCTCACTATTCTTATGATTACTAATATCGTTTATTATTGATGGAGCAGTTTCTTTGCTTTCCTCACTATTCTTATTGTTACTTATATCACGACTATTTCATTATATTTTTTGGAGAAACTCTTTTTCAAATACTTTAAATCTCGCAATATATAACTGGATAATTCCTTTATTTGCTTTAGATCTGGAAATAATAAAATCTGTCTATTGTATATTCTATTACAATAATAAAGACGAAAAATTAAGAATATTTTAAAAATCTATTTAATAACCAAAAATATGTACTATTACTGTTGGAAAAGATTAAATCTTTATTTGTTATGTAACTACCTAACTTTCGACTTGCACGGCGTTAGCTCGTCGGAATATTAGTCCGAGGATTCGAAAGAGGTTCGATCGGCGGGAGAATGCAAGGCAAGTAAAGTCTCAGACAGGTGTATGATAACAAAACAATGTACTTTATTAGTTTCGCCGAAACAGCGTGTATTCTATTGGAATGAGATAAAAGAAACGGCTTAGCGCCGAGACGGTCGCAGTGTGCGTGTGTGTGTGCGAGTATGTACGTGTATTTGTGTGCGTGCGAAGTGTAAGCGGCGCGGCGTTTATCTGGCAATGCAGAGCGAGTATGTGCGTGCGTGCGTGCGTGCGTGAGATATGAAGCGCAATCGGCGCGGTGTGTATCGCAAGTAGTGTACGTGAGTGCGTGAGTCGCTGGTAAGAATGCGAGGGAGCGAGTGAGAGCGAGCGAGCGGTGTTGCCCGCGACGATGTTATGACGGGCCGTAAAAACTGACGGGCTCGCGATGCTCCTGTTTTTCTTCACGGTTTCAGCTAACGCGGCTGATCAGCTGTAATCGAGTTATTTTCAGACCTGTCGATGCGGCAGTCTATGTCTCGTGACGCGCGGTTATTGCTTGTTATCGCGGGTTCGCGTATTTATGCTAAGACGGGCGATGACCAGCGGTCGAGAACGCTCGGCAGAGGTGGAGAACTCTCCACCCCGGGCGACTGCTGGTCGATCGCAGTGCGTGATGCAGAAGATGGTCGTTGCACGCTGCACCGAGACAGCTGCCGAGAACGCTCGGCAAAGGCAGAGCACACTCTGCCCCTCGGTTCTTGCCGTTCGGTGCACTAGGATGCCTAGTCAGATACCTACCGAGAACGCTTGAGCACACTCTAGCCCGGTTTTCTCGGTGTCGTGTAGGCTTTAGGATATCGGAATTCGTTGTCTGGAGCTGGTCGGGACAGGAATCACCTGTTTCTTCGTAACGCGGCATTTTTATACGACCAAAAATGCCGCGTTCGTGGTTTCGCTTTCGCTCGCGTTTTCCCGTGCTTCGCGGTGTTCGGGGCTGAGTCCCAAGAAGTGGGAGTCCGCGGCGATCGCTCTATTTCGGTATTGCTCGGCGGTGCTCGGCGTTACGCGGCTGTTACTGCCGCTTGTACCTGCGAATTATGTTTGCTTTCTTATCGGGCGCTATGCGCCCTCATCACTGCATTGCGCAGCAATGCTGCGGCGTTCAGCTGGGTGGTGTATGCCAGAACGATGGGGGGATGCGCATCGTTACAGTTATCTTCTTATTATGTGAATATATACATATAACAAGATTAATTCTAATAAGGGGGAGGAGTTAGAAAGCAAAAATTATCATATAATAAATGCAAAAATTTTTTTGAAAAGCGGTATTCTTACCTTCATTTACACAAAGTATTCTTAATCGAGAATTGTCAAGTCGCAATCCTTTATTATCTTCCTCTAATATTTGTATTTTAGTAATTAATCGGTCCTTTGACTGCTTATGAAGTTGGTATGATGTATCGCTTTCTTCATCACTAATTATGATCTGCAATATAAAAGAATTTTTCTTACTAATAGATGTAAATACCCTAAAGTATACAAAATCTATGTCGTACTATATAATATTAACATTTTGTGTTTCTTCAATTGCATTTGTAATCTGTGAAAGAATTGTGGCATTGATATTCTTTGCAATCTTAGTTTTTCGCAGATTTCGAATCATTAGTACTTTAAAATTTTAATATTTATTAAAGATCCAATAAGATGCTATAAGCATCATAAATTGTTAGATTGTTTGTCAATTTAACTTTGTGATATTACTACGGTAGTTGTTTAGAGTTGCGTTGTAAGTCTGAAGAATTTTCGGCACGCGATTGGAGGAACTACATACGTGGTAAATAAAAATTCACACATTAATTTAGCAACCAAAATCCTGCTTGACCGTCATTTGGCCGATAATATTTCCTTATTGTCTTAGAATTTCGACGGTCCAATAAAAATCGTAATTTTGATATTCGAGTTATAATCTCTTTGGGTACTTTTGTTGCTACTTTGCTTCATTCTTCTTTTAGAAGTCAGTTCTGATGTTAAATGATTAATTCTATTATAATTAGTTTCTATTGAAGTTTTCTATTGAAAACATAAAAAGTGGGAAAATATTTTGTTAGAATAACGGACGCAATTATTTCAATGTTATTGCCTTTCTTAATTGTTATTGTAAATTGATACATACGAATATTTCTTACATACCTTTTTATTGTCACTATCTCGCATTTTTTGCTTCTCTTCATCTGATGAGCTATTTTCATGAGAACTATTGTTATCACTTTCCTCAGACGTTTGTTTCTTACAGAGAGCATGCCTCTGTTTGCGATCTGGATTTGGGACACCAAACTTCTCAATATTTTTTGCTTGTTGACACATTTCAGTCCATTCTTTTACAGAATAAAATTAAAAATGAATTTTCTCTGTTTCATAATCTGTTTTTTTTTTTTCAATATATTCTACACAAAGAATTTAACGAGATTCTAACTTATTTATTTACACTGCGTAAAAAATTGAAGATTACCTATTCTGGGTAATCCTATTCTGGTCAAAGAGCTTTTTAAAGTTTGAAATTTCTATTTTCGAGATCAGTAATTTATATTTTGATTGATTTTTACAAAACTATACCAATACAAATTGATATAGATCAAATAATTCACAAAATTACATAGCGTGGATTAAAAACCATTTACAAATTTGGTTTACAGCATTCGGAAGAATGAATCTTTACCTTTTTATTTGCCTCTCTTGTCGAGTGTTATACGATTTTTTTAACTGAGCTATTCAACATTGAAGTAAGAGGGATTATTTTTGCTTCAATGTTGAATAACTCGGATATAAAAAAAATCATACAATGCACAACAAAAAAGCAAATCAAAGGTAAAGACTTATTCGTTTATTCTTTCGAACACTGTAAAGCGAATTTGTGTATGACTTTTAATTGAAGCTTTGTAATTAAAAATTTTTTTCTTTTTAATGTACCGCGCCATATGGACCTCAGTAAAATTTATACAAAATTTTTAGATTTCATGGATATATCTGTTTATGAATTAACTCTCTCGAGAAATTCTTTTCTATTTTAATGCTTTATTTGCTACGAATTATATGCTCACAAAATGCTTACAAAGAAGAATAATTGCTTTCTTGTCGGCCTGCTGCCGAACACATACAAAAGGATCCGAGCCCCCTCTCTGGCGCGTATTAATACTTATGAAACTCAAAAGTGCAGCACTACGGTATAGCAGAAATAACGAACAACGAACATAAAGCTTTTACATTCCGCCCCTCTTGAAAGGGTATCTTTCAAATAAACAGTATGTCACTTTAACAATATTACTACTTGCTACAAATAAACTCTTAATGATGAATAATAAAACTCTTAATGTGAGAAAGATGAATAATAATTAATAAAGTTATAATCTAAGGATAAAAATCTTAACTTAACTAACAATCTTGATATAATAGATAAACTTATGTGTTAGAGTCTCTAGTTTTTATAAGGAAGTGCACATATCTTCTTAACGGCACGCTTGAAACTTCCTGTTGACGTTCGAATAGTTGCTACTCTTATAACTCCGTCCTCTCCAGGATGCAGCGCTTCTATTCGTCCTAACTTCCACTGCATCGGCGGTAGATTGTCTTCGATTAACAGAACCAAGTCTCCGACTTGTACCGCTTCATCACCTTCTTTCCATTTGGTTCTGACTTGTAGTTGCTGTAAGTACTCCTTATGCCAGCGCTGCCAGTAATGCTGGCGTAACTTTTGGATATGCTGCCATCGAGATAAATGAGTATCCTTGATATTCGATAGATCTTTTTCAACGGGCATTATTAAGACTTCTCCCTTATTAAAGAAATGGGCTGGTGTAAGTGGTGTTAGGTCGTTGGGATCTGACGACAGGGCTGTCAGTGGCCTGCTATTCAGAATGCCTTCTATTTCGACCAGTAAAGTATAATATTTTTCAAAAGTATAAATCAAATTCTTCATAGTGATTCGTAGATGCCGTTTGACACTTTTAACGGCAGCTTCCCAAAGCCCTCCGAAGTGTGGTGATCGGGGAGGTATAAAGTGCCACTTTATATTTTGTGCGACCAATCTGGTAGCGATGCAAGTCTCCTGAGTCTTGAGAAACTCATAGATTTCTATAAGTTCGTTTGCAGCACCTACTACGGTAGTGCCATTATCAGAATACATGTGGATACATGTTCCCCTTCTTACACAAAAGCGTCGAAAGGTTGACATGAAAGCCTCCGTAGTTAGGCTGCTAACTAATTCAAGATGCACAGCCTTTGTTTTGAAACAAACGAAAACTGCTGCGTAGGCTTTGCTGACAGGAATGTTACCTCTTCTCTTGCTTTCTCGAAGGTTAAATGGACCTGCGTAATCAATCCCGCAGATGCTAAATGGTTTTGTATCGGTAGTAACCCTCGATGCTAGATGGTAGATCTGCCATCTTCAGTTTGGGAATGCTTGGTCGGTATCTAAAGCACGATATGCATCGTCTCACAGTCTTTCTGGCTTCTCGTCTTCCTGAAAGAGGCCAATATCACGTTCTGACTTCTGCTAATAGTTGCTGAGGCCCACAGTGATGTAATTTAACATGCTCTTGTCTTAGTGAAATTTCTGTGATGTGATGTCTCGCTGGTAAAGCTATCGGGTGTCTCTGATCGTATGGGATGTCTGCGTGTTTTAGTCTGCCCCCTACTCTGATGACTCCTTCTTCATCTAAAAAGAGGTTGAGCGCTGCTAATTGACTATTAGCAGATACTCCTTTTCCTTGCTGTAAAGAACACAACTCCTGCGGAAACTGCTCAACCTGCACCATGTGGCTGATAACTAGTTCTGCTCTCTTAAGTTCTTCAGGTTTTAAGGCATCAAAATGGCGTTGACTTGATAGAATATCCCTGAATCGCAAACAATATGCTATGACCCTCTTGAGTTTGTTGAAAGAAGAATATCTCTGAAGAATATCCTGTCGGGGTGTAACTGCTACAAAGACGTTTTCCTCTCTTAGTTCTAAATTATCAGTTGGTATATTTGTGGTTATCTTAGGCCATTGATCCTCCTGGGTGAGCCATGTATAGGGCCATTCCACCACAAGCTACTTGATTTCAGCTGATCTACTGTAGTTCCTCTTGACAACATGTCTGCAGGATTCTGGGCCGAAGGCACATGATGCCATTTTGCTACTGGCACAAGCTCATGTATTTCCGTGACTCGATTGGCATAATATGTCTAACTTGTGAGGAAGCGTGTCTATCCAACAGAGCACTATAGTAGAGTCACTCCATAGATGGACTTCTTTTATTGGATGCTTTATAGCTCTTATTACGGCTGCCATCAAACGAGCTAGTACAAGTGCCGCACATAGTTCTAGTTTAGGTAACAAGATCGTTTTTAAAGGTGCTACCTTTGATTTAGAACACACGAGATAAGATTTGCGTTGCCCCTCTTTCGATTCATAGACACAGTAAATACTAGAGCCGTAAGCTTTTTCAGAGGCGTCTCCAAATCCATGAAGCGTAAATGATTGCTTACTGTTTTGTGGATTGAAGCTTCTGGGTATCCGAATCTGATTAAGAGCTTTAAGTGAAGTATAATAATTAATCCATGTTTCGTAAAAGGCTGGTGGAACCGGATCCTCCCAGCCAATATCTAGCTTCCATAAATTCTGCATAATTATCTTGGCTACGATCAACACAGTACCTATTAATCCTAATGGGTCATATATCTTGGCAATTTGCGATAGAATAAGACGTTTAGTATTTTGCTTACTGTCCGTCAGACTTACTGAATATTGTATCTGGTCATTGGATGAGTCCCATAATAACCCGAGCGTCTTTGAAGGCACCGTATCATCCAAAACCATCATGGAATCTTTCTCGATACTTCCAGAGAGACCCTGTACGATTCTTGGGTCACTTGCTCTCCACTTCCTAAGCATAAATCCTGCTGCTTCAAGTAACTCCGATAACTCACTCCTTAGTTTGATCGCTTGTTTCAATGTGTGACCACCTGTTAGTACATCGTCCATATAAAAGTCTTGAAGTAATGCTGCTGCTGCTGCCTTTCGCGTTCTTGCTTCCGGTTGTGTTGCTAAATGTCTTAAACAACGCATAGCTAAAAAAGGTGCGCATGTAGTTCCATATGTTACGGTATTCAATGAATAGACCTGCATCGATTCTGCGTGGTCGTATCGCCAAATAATCCTCTGAAGATCCCTGTCTTCTTCGGCTATCCAAATTTGTCTGAACATCATTTTAATATCTGCCGTCATCATATACTGATGCTCTCTGAATCTAATCATAATTTCCCATAAGTCTATCTGAAGATTGGCTCCGCTTAACAATTTCTGATTTAAAGATGAGCATGTTGATGATTTCGATGATCCATCGAAAACTACACGTAATTTCGTCGTTAAGCTTGTTGTCCTGATCACTGGTTGGTGCAGAAGATAAAAATACTCCTTTTTTGGTATGTGACTCGGCTGTTTGACTATGGACATATGATTCATTTCTTCATACTCTTTCATGAATCTATGATAGTCTGCTGAAAGTGGCTGAATGAGTTACAATTATCTGTTGAATTAGACTTTTTATTTGATTCGATAATTTCTTCAATATCGTCTCAAATGTAAAAGATAATCTATCCAAATCGTAGAAGTCTCTAACAAGGAAAAGGACTGAAATTATTATTCTGAAATGTGATTGAAATTCCTTTGCCGTACTGTTTAATACGGTATGCTCAATAAAATATTTTATTCGAAATGGAATTTTTTTTGGGGAATTTGACAATTTCTCACCATATAATTCTATTAGCTCCTCTTCTTCGGAATCGTCATCAGACTCGATATTACTCAAGAAGAACGTTTTATATAATGTAATAGCACCTATTGTACAATTTTCCATTGTACTTTTCAACTAAAAATTAATAATATTAAATAAATTAATAGAATTATGTTGCTCTTATTTTGAATAATTCGCTCTTAATAAAATTTATGCATGTATTTATTACTTGCTTTTTTACATTAATATATTGTTATATAGAATAAATAATGTAAATAAAAAATGTATATAATCACTTACCAAGTTCAAACTATTCTTTTATATCATCTATAAAATATATTATTATCTATCAAACTATTCTTTATATTATTATCTTTATATTGTAATTTGACTCTTATTCGCCATTTTTAACGTATTAATTATTGTCATATAAGGGGCATTCTACATGAACTCAACCAGCCTAAAAATAGGAAAGTTTTCCAATCACTTAAAAATTTTTATAATCAATAGTCCTACCAACAACAAAGTTTCTGTTAAAATTTTGTTGAGCTAGTGCAACGGGTTGCCAAGTTACAGGGGCTTGAATTTTGTCCACTCCAACCATCAGATGTACTTTGTAAGATACATAACTTGTCTTACAATATTCCGATTTGAACAAAAAAGTAGTGATTTGGAAAGCTTTTTTCACGTACTTTCATAATAAAGTAAGTATTATTTAAAAAACTTGTGAAATTGGCGTTATTTTTCAAAATTAATCTTAAATGTCTATTTTTCTCAAAGATGGGTATCTTCGATTCGAATGGAAAAAATTTAGAAAAAAAGAAGGATTCTTTACTAACAAAAAAGTCTGTAAGTTCCAAGATGGTGAATCCAGTAGTTTTTGAGATACAGACAGATTTATGAGCGGATGAACGGAACGCGCTTCATGCCGAGTCGCGTCATATTGCCTTGCGTCCGCGAGGCGCGCCGAGAGGCCC